GCTTCACTAGTGACAGCTCAGGGTCCTCACTTTACTCCTATTATTATGGGCTTCACTCCACCTCAGAGTTCTTCAGTGCTAGTGATGGACATCCCAGTCTCCAGGAGTCTCGGTGCTACCTTCAGTGAGCTTATAGGGCAGCCTACACCTCTAGAGTTATGAGTTCTTGTCCCTACCATAGTTGCTCTAGTTACCAGGACTACTAAGGCAATCTCGTCGTCTGTTGCATCATCCGAGCCACCTCAGACAGTCACTCCTACACTTGAGGTTTCAGCGACAGTGGCAGATGTGGCTCCACTTCCTACAGTGATACTTCTAGAGTCATAGGCCACGCCAGTTACTGAGTAGACCTAGACCGCTTCACCTTTACTTTCAGCAACAGAGGGTCAGACCGCTCAGAGTTCAGGGTTAGAGGATGATGCTACTCAGTTCCAGATCTCTCACCACACCTCAGTGCCCAACTCATCTTCTCTTGTCCCTGCCGTCTGACCCTTAGGTTTTGGTGCTTGACGCCAAAGGGGAGAGGGAGCAAGTATGTTAGATCTAGGGGGAGCATTAGATCTAGGGGGAGTGTGTGATTCATTTCTTTTGGCTCTTTGAGTGTGATACTTTATGGGAGCGTTAGATCTAGGGGAGTGTGTGATTCATTTCTTTTGGCTCTTTGAGTGTGATACTTTATGCATTCATGTTTACCTTCATGCATTGTATTACATACATGTGATGGTGAGACTTATGTGACATGTGTGCTCTCTACATTGATATACATTTATCTATCATGCCACTTGATTATGCTCATTTACTTTGCTTCCGCATTTTTACTCCAATTCAAATGAGCTTTACTTTCATGTACTCATGCTTAATTCATATCTATTGAGTACACCATGTTGGCTTAGGTCATATAAGCATGTCTAACCCCTTTGTTCTTATTGTCAAAAGCTTATATGAACCAAGCACGTTCAAAACCTCACTCATCTCTTCTACATACTCAAGGTTATGTTGTCATCAATCACCAAAAAGGGGGAGATTAAAAGCATCTAGGCCCCTAGTTGGCTTTCGGCGATTAATGACAACGTGAGATTACTATGACTAACATGTGTTTTGCAGAGGCAATTTGAGTTAGGTCATGGCTATGACAATTGATTAGGCAATCATGGTTGTCATGCCCCTGTTGATGAAAATCATTTCGGTTTTAAAGGATGTACGACAAGGATAAGGACAGACTAGTTCTAAGTGTCGTTTGGTGTTGGAGAGACACTTAGAGTAGTTTCAGACCTTGTTTTTCCTTTGGCCGTACTATTAAGGGAGGTATGGACTAGTAGCGTGACCTAGGTGAGTCTAGTGGATTAGGTGTGGTGCACACTTATCAAACCTAGCACTAGGTAGCTCAAGAATAGCCCTAAGATCAATTGGAGTAAACTTCATTCACATAGAATTTTGAGTTGGAAGTGAATGGAGGGTCAAATGATTGACCGGATGCTGGTCTGGTTGTGAACGGACGCTAAAGGGTGAGTTCGGTCAGTTCATTTGATCAACTGCAGTCATCTGGTACTGATCAAACGTTGAACAGTGAAGTGACCGGACGCTGGGTGCCCGCATCCGGTCAACTCTAGAGAGGTTCTAGAAAGGGTTTTTTGACCGGATGCGTTCGGTCGGTGCTGACCGGACGCTGGTCAGGATCTAGTAACTGACCAGACGCTGAATAGTGAAGTGACCGGACTCTGGGTCCCGCGTCCGGTCAATATCAATAAGGTTGTAGAGAACATTTTTTCTTGACCGGACGCTGGTCAGAGTCCGGTCAGAGCATAACGGCTCTTTCTGATACAGTGGCGGGTATAACTGACCGGAGCATCTGGTCACCCTGACCAGAGCATTCGGTCACCCCGCAGAGTGATGACTCAGCCTCCAAACATTATGTTTTGAATGAGGGGGTATAAATACTTACTCCACTTGTCCAAGGGAGGTCTCTTGCCCATTTGTTCAGCTGAGAAACACCTTGAGAGTGTAAGGAAGAGCAAGAGCCTAATGAGGTGATTGAGATTTGAGAATCCAAGATTAAGGACCTCATTAGTGCATAGAGAGTAGCAAGTGTGCATCCACCCTTGTTATTAGGCTTGTCGTGGTCAAGTGAGAGTTTGTGCTTGTTACTCTTGGTGATCGCCATCACCTAGATGGCTCGGTGATGATTGGGAGCTTGGTGATCATCCGACGGAACTTGTGGATGACCCAACTCAAGTTATGAGCGGTTGTGGGTGATTCACCGCGACGGAGTGTCAAAGAATCAACCCGTAGAGAGCACTTGATCCTTACACGAATCAAGTGGGGAGCTACAATCTTGCGTGAGTGCTCCAACGAGGATTAGTGGGGAGTGATGACTCTCCGATACCTTAGGGAAACATTGCCGCGTTCCTTTCCCTCTCTTTACTTTGAGCATTTATATTTGAGCAATTTATTTCATGTCTTTACATTCCTAGTACTGCCATGCTAGAGTAGGATTAGAATCTAGGGTGCAAAACTTTTGTGCGGTAGAACAATAAAACACATTTTAGGCACAAATGGGTGAAGTGGGCTAAGTGTAGGGCTTAATTATTGCAAAGAATTTAGAATTAGCCCAATTCACCCTCCCTCTTGGGCATCTTGATCCTTTCAACGACAACACTAGAAAGAAATAACCATTGTGAGAAACTCACATTTGTCCAATATCATGGCTATATGATCTTCATACATAGATACATCAATCAAACAATTGGCCCAAACTATACCTTCAAATTATTGGAGGCAAGAAAGTTCTTGGAATTAGTTTGAAGATCACTTCGACGAATAAGACCATAAATGTCTCTATGTTACACTTAGAAATAGTATCAACCCAATATTGTACTTCCACATGTTTGCATAATATCATGTACCTTCAACATGATACTCTTATTCTATTAAGTTAAAGTTCATATTGAATTTTAATCTACTCTATGTAGAATCATTTGGGATTCCAATCATATGGCAAATGATTTTGTATAGTGCACCATTGTATCATTAACACAATTATACGAGATTTTCCTCTACCTATGGTCATTCAAATTTTAATCATGGATGCATCCATGTATCTAGATTCTCAAAATACCCTACACAATTTTGGTGATATCCGGTAGCATGGTCTCCATATGATACCCAATACTTAGAGTAGTGATTAAAATTTACACTCAAATTCCTACAACGGATATGAATACCCAATACTTATAAGAAATCCTTTTTCATACTTATAAAAAGCTCTTGGAATTAGTTGCATATAAAATAATTTTTCATCTTTGATCACATCAAGACTTGGCATGTTTGTCTTGATAAAAAGTTATTTACAATTCCATTGGTTGCAAAAGAAAACCAAAACCAGTTGATTTTGTGTGCACCACATACGCCACAAGGGAACTAATGTTAAGGTCCTTCTACCTTAAAATTTGAATACCAAGCCACTCAATTTCTTGAACGCACTCAAGACATATATGTGGACTTATCTGGTCATTTCTTGGATCAACTATGTACTCTGCATGCTTATAGATGAATCTACATAGTACTCACAAATATGTTTCGTACTCATAAGGCAACACAACTAAATTAATTGTTCAAATTTTCTAGTTTAAGGCGGTTCTAAATTAGAGTCCGGCTTTTGATGTGGGTCAACATGTAGCCATACTAGTTTTGTTATTATTGGGTCATTTTGAATGGATCTCAACATAAAAAAAATTATATTAGATTGGAGATTGGACAACTGCACATTAGTCATGTTGTAATAGGGTTGAATTGAATATTTGGATTTTTTTTCTTTGAATTTTAAGTAGACTTCTCTATATGGATTTGATCCTAACTCATTACCACATCTATCCACATGATACATCTTAGTATGACACTATGCATCATGTTTTCAGGACAGAGAAATCAGCGCCCTAAGACAATCGCAGCACTGCCAGCATGGTTTAACATCGTTCTGTGGGAAATTTTGAACTTAAAATCACCTGATTTGCAGCCAAAAAGTAGTAGGAACAGCTGCTGGGGAGGCTCAACGCAGCACCACTATCTTTACGGGCTTGCGTTGCGTGTACTGTATGGTGCAGATCGTCTGCTTTGTTAACCGATGATACGCCCATGCGTGAGCACTGACGCATGAACAGATAAAGATATATATAGAAAAGCATCACGAGGCCATGCCATCCTCAAACAAAGTTTGCCTCCTCGGTCGACTATTTGTCTCTTTCTCTGTTATCCTCTGCAATCAGAATCAGTGGTACACCCTCACACGCCACCCCCGGGACTTTGGGTGTGTTTGGTGGACAAGGTGATCCATGGATTTATCCACGTTGTCTGTTTGAAACGGGCTATTTTTCTGTTTAGTTAGATTGGTGAAATTAAATATGATAAGAATACTTGACTAATTATATCTATTATTTAAAAATAATAATAACTAATTATACATTAATAAATATACATCGACACTAATCTTGTCATTATAATCATTAATTAAAAATAAAATATGTTAATTAGCACTATACTACTCTAATTGTCACACAAAACATACGCTAATCAACACGTGGATACACTCATCCGCCAGATTTCTGAGGACCACGATATCTAGTATCTGCGTAGAATATTCTCTATCGTGGATATCAGATTCAGCTTTTCCATCGAACCAAACATCCTATGTCTATCTATGAATATCCATGTCGCATTCAAGAATATAACCAAACACCCTTTGTGGATAGCTCATGGGTCCCAGCTGGAAGCCACTCAGACTTGGCAAAGAATCATCTTTCTTCTCTGTTGAATTCAACTCTGTTCTAGCAGTGCCAGTCTAGCTCTATCTATTCTATTCTAAGGGATTAGGAGCAGACCGGAGACTTGGGGGGCTCACCTGCTACTCAAGAGTCTAGAGTCTATCATTATCTTGGCTACACCTGCACCTACTGCTGTATCTCATTACCATCTGGTAATTGCTGATTGAGGAGGAGACGACAGCCATGGCGACCGCGAAGCCCGTCCTGTACAACGCCTGGATCAGCTCCTGCTCCCACCGTGTTCGCATCGCACTAAACCTCAAAGGTGAGTACGTGATTCTAGCACTTATTGATACTCTGGGCTCTGAACCTGGTTAGATTGCTCTTTTGGTTGGTTGTTAGGCATAACCTATGAGCTTGATCTTACAGAATAATTCAGCAAAGCATATGGCAAAAACAAGGGAGCCGGCTTCTTGATGCTATATGACCTCGAGCTCTTATTATCCTCTTTTTTCAGTCTAAGATATACCTCAAGTTTCTCAAGAATTGGATACAGACTCGTCTATTTTTAGACAAATTCTGAAGTTTGTTCAGTTAGGGATTAGCAATTCTGTATTTCTTGGTCTGTTAACTGTAAAACTGTGACTAGTTACTTGTTCGATAACCCCAAGAATATTTTGCTTTCAAGTACTTGAGCACTACTTGTCTATTGACAGAACAAGAACGGCTATATGCAACACATTTGTTTTAGTCTGTGCGCCCATTGGTCTTGTCAGTGCCTCAGTGGTGCTTGACCTTTTTTGTTTAACAAACCTGATGCTATGTCAATTAATGCAAACCTCTTTCCAGAACTCACTAATTCAAGCTGTGTATATTAAATGCTTTATTATTCTGAAACCTGAAAGCTAATTTCATGGATTTTTTAATCATGAAGGTGTGGATTACGAGTACAAGTCAGTAAACCCCAGGACAGATCCAGGTAGTTGCAACACCTTGACACATTTCGTGTATTTCAGTTGACATCTCATTCTCGCACTTACAATCAATGGGGACACAAATGTGTTCTAAAAATTTTGATATTACTTATTGTGGAAAGTTCATGGTTTAATGGCAATTCCATTACTATGTCTTCCCTTTCATAGATTATGAAAAAATCAATCCAATCAAATATATTCCAGCATTAGTAGATGGGGACATAGTCGTTTCCGATTCTCTCGCTATCTCATTGGTGAGTTACAAATGTTGCTTCAGCAGATTTTCATTGTCCAGTTATGTATATATATGTTCTTTTGGCATGCCAATGCATGCATTTGTTAGTCACTAACAAGCTATCGGATTGAGCAGTATTTGGAAGATAAATATCCTGAGCATCCTCTCCTGCCTAAAGATCTCAAGAGGAAAGCTCTTAATCTTCAGGTCATGTCCAGATCAAAGTCTCGTTGTATCTTGTTCACAGAAGTAAAATAAAAGTCTGACCAACAATTTGTATGTGGGGAACTATATTTGTATCTTGCATTTACATTTCCAGTATGGTATCACATATACTTGCTATATATTGACGATGTTGTCAATTGAAAACGTCAACATTCTAATCATCATTTGGCATCTCCTTTCAAATGAGTCCTTCACTTTCTTGGTACAGATTGCAAACATTGTTTGTTCAAGCATTCAACCTCTTCAAGGCTATGCCGTTATTGTGGGTATTACCAGTACCTAGCTATAGCTGATGAGACTTTGGGCATGTACAAGATCTATTTACATAACTACTTTACAGGGTCTGCATGAGGGTAGGATGAGCCCAGATGAGGGCCTTCATATTGTTCAAACTTATATTGACAAGGGATTCAGAGGTGTGATTTCCTGAAACTTAATGTTTGCAAAGTAAAACTGTCTCTTCTTTTTCCAGTACATAGACTCAAGTTGTGTTTTCAAATCTAGCAATGCAGCTGTGTTGGAAATTAAGCTACTTGTTGAACATTCAGCGCTATAATGCACCTTCAATCCCAAATAAGCGAAAATGTACTTTGTGTCAGCTTCATTCTTTCAATATTACTTACAATGGCAATTTTGATTCAACTATTTTTGTCAGCGATCGAAAAGCTCTTGGAAGGATGTGAGAGTAAATATGCTACTGGAGATGATGTCCAATTGGTTTGCTTGTCTACCCAACCTTTTAATAATACACATTGATCAATCATTTAGAAATGGTCTCCAGAGTCGCATCATCATATCAATCATCCATAGTTTTTTTTCTCCAAACTACATTTCAACAAATTTCTCATTTAGTTTAGTCTTTTGACATCCAACTTTGAGAAAGTGTCATCTTACTTGAATTTTAGTAAGAATTAATGCGCTGCAAAACAATTTGGCATCATTTGTGTTTCCTCTGGTAAGTGATCTGAACTAATCCAATGTTTGCATATTTTGTGCTCATGGACAGGGAGATGTGTTTCTTGAACCACAGATACATGCTGGCATAAATCGCTTCCAAATCGATATGGTACCTAACATTCATCTGCTATTCCATGTAAAACAAAATGGATAGTGTGGACCACGGCCACCTGACTTATTCAGAAACTAGCCCTTCAATAAGTTCTTGCTTTCTTGCAGTCGAAGTACCCGATCTTGGAGAGGCTCCATGATGCATACATGCAAATTCCAGCATTCGAAGCTGCGCTTCCTAAAAATCAGCCAGACGCACCTTCATCATAAAAATCAAGATTGTCTCAATAATTTGCTTGTCCTTGTGTAATAATTTGGATAGGGAGCCACCGCTTCCTCCATCCTGCAGTACTCTAGGTTATAATCTAGCTTACCCTTCTGTCATGGCTCAAGAGTAAATGATTGACACTTTGCTCTTTCCCTAATGATGCCCATACTTTGTATGAACTCCGAGTGCTTCTCATTCTGAATATTATGGAAAATACAGTGATTTTGCATGAGACTATTCATGAGCTACACAACAACAAAAAAAATGGAATCATTTTCAAAATTAATTTTGAGAAAGTTTATGGTAAGGTTAATTGGGATATTTTACAACTAACATTAAGACTAAGGGGGTTTGATCCTTTGTGGTGCATCTGATGAAGGCATTTGTCCATGGAAGCAATATTAAATTGAATGAGCAAATAGTGTCTTATTTCCAAACTAGGAAAGGTCTTAGGTAGGGTGATTCTCTTCCACCAATCTTATTCAATATTGTGGTGGACATTTTGGCTATCATCTTGTCTAGAGCCAAGGAGGAAGGTTTAATAAAAAAAAGGGGCCAATCCTACATTAGGTTGAAGACTGTCTGAGCATTCTACAACATGCAGATGGAATCATTATTTTTATGGATGATGATATTGAACGTGGAAATAACATGGAACTATTACTTTACGCCTTTGAACAATTATCAGGTTGTAAAATTAGCTTTCACAAAAGGGAGCTCTTTGGTTTGGACAAGGAAAGGAGAGTGAGGAACAATACTCGCAACTCTTTGGTTGTAAAATGGGTTCATGCCCCTTTCGTTATTTGGGGATTCCCATGATTTTTAGAAATTGAACAGTAATGGTTGGAAAATGATTAAGGATAGAATTGAGAGGACATTGTGTGGTTGGAGGGGTAAAAATCTACGGTGGTAGACATGTTGATAAATTCAGCATTGTCGACCTTACCATGTTGACGCCGTCTTTCTTTGAAATCCTAAAGTTCTTAAAAAGATTGATTATTATAGATTGAGATTTTCCTGGAAAAACACAATCAGTAAAAAAAATTAGGCTAGCTAAGTGGTCCATTTTATTTGAACCAAAGAAAAAAGAGGGAAATGCAAAATTTGGGTCTACAAATCAAGTGCTTATTGAGTAAATTTATTTTCAAGCTTTGTAATGAAGAATGTCAGAACTTCTTGAGAAACCAATACCTTAGAACAAAAATTTTGAGTCAAGTTAAGAAAAGTGTTGGTGTATCACACTTGTGGATGGGTTTCATGAGGGAAAGTTCCAACTTAATGTTTGAACACAAATCAAATTTTGGGAGGATAAATGGTTGCCGTGTAGCTCTGAAACTTCAATATCCAAATTTATCTAATATTGTGCATAGGAAACATGCAACTCTAGCAGGAGTTGTTAGTCACTCAAATTTGGCCCAAGGACAATTTTGAAGTATTATCGGAGGTCATAAAAAAAGTTGCTGGAATGTGCAAGAAGATTCGCACAGAGTGAGCAACAACACAGGGTGCATCAAGTTTGTGTTAATTGGAGACATGTTTGGGGAGCCCTGTCAAAGGCAAAATGAAAACATGTTTGGTCTGTCAGAGGCAAAGTCAAAACATGCTTATTCTGTCAAAGGCAAAGTTATGTCACACCTAGTAACCCTTAGATAACAATTTCTTTAGAGTTCCCCTCTTAATAGTACGGTTATCTATCCTAAATCCGACCACACACTCTATAGTGTCTCGGCCGGCAAAATAAAAAAAAAAACCTAGCATATACCTTTGCCTTCGAACTTGTGTTCACCTCTTCTTCTCCTCTCCAAGTGTGAGCTTGCTCCATGTGGCTTGCTCACTAGCTTGGTGTGGACCCTAACTCAATCACAACTAAATTGAAAGCATTAGTCCACTGGTTGTCATTCAATTAGCAAAACCAAATTTAGGGCTTTGAATTGCCGATAGCTATAGTTCTCCATCTTCCTAATGGGACACCAACATCACCGCTGTAGCTCTTTTCAGAGAACAGGTCAAGAGGGTGAGCGGGGATTAGGGAATGGCTAGGGTCAGGGTGACATTTTGGGCCGCTGTTGACATTTTGGAGCACCGCGTCATGAAAAATTGAAGAAGCTCGCTCTGATTTCGGTCCACTAATCCTCTACAAACTATTTAGTGAGTAGTTCTGCTTGTTTAGTGCTCTAATCACCGCTACTAGCAGTCACGATCATTGAGTGTTAAAAGGCAACTCTCCTGTCGTCACCCTTACAAGTTGCTAAATCCGGCTATAGCAGAAGCTATATCTGGCTATTTGAAACATTGGTAAGAACTTTGGTATGATTTTTTTTCTTTGAAGAAGTCTGAAACCGGACTTTTCCATTATCTAAAATATCGTGTTTGGCAAACTATAGCTCACCAATAACTGCATAACTACAACCTTGATATAATGAACAACCCAAGCAGGGTCAAATGACAAACGTGCAATTTGTCATGGACCATAGCTATCCATTTTGTCACTCATGGATGATGGACCACGTCCGTTCCTGTCACAGCTAGGCCATTTCTTATCGTGACATCGTACCCAATCTGATTTGACAGCCACATGTTTAGGCTGACTTCACCTCCGAAATTTCTGAACTACTCCAAAAGAAGAGGAAAAGGCATTGGACACTGGAAAAAGTTCTTTGTTTATCGCTTAAAAAATACAGAATTAGTTCAGTAGAAAACTTCAAGCATTGAACTTCCAAGAAGTTATCTGATTTGCAGCACAATTACCTCAAAAGTATAACAAGACTAGTTCAATAAACACTAACACAGTACAAAAATGGGGATACATCATACACCACATTAAAAGTTATCTACTAAACCACTGGGCAGTAAAAATAACGTCACAAAAGCCATTTAATCCGAAAGGGACACGGCATATCTTAATTAAGTGCCTTAGACAATTTTTAGCAGTGAATAAGATAGTCCCTTGAACTCGATCAAGAATTCAGATCACATAACCACCTCCATGTGGCATGTCCTGTCCTAGTGCTGGAGGCTTAAGTGTCAAACCTGGAGCAATTTCTTATTCCAGTGACATTGTGGGGATGACGCAAACACTGTGTATTGACTTTTGTACAACTACACATCACAAGAAAGATTTAAACAAGTAGCGGTCGGATGCTAGAAAAAAGAATACGAGATTGCATCTTTTTCTAAGTACAAGGTGCATGCACATCCTTGGCAAAATGATACTAAATGGGGCTGTATGCATCAGAGGATACAAAAGTCTGGAGCTATATATCTTTCCATATTATGATCATAAAAGAAGTTTGAACATGGGGAAGGAAAAGCTGATAGCAGACTTGAGTCTAACAAAAAAAATGTTGATAAAACATCATTATATTTGAATAGATTATTGTCCGATGTTTTTGCCACGCGCATTTGATAAAGAAAAGAAATTACTCCAAACACAAACATCTGATAAGAAATTGATGCATGTGGTTAACTGAAGAAAAAATCATTAATTTTTGGATGCCTTGCCCTCGAGGTTTTGAGTTTTCATCATGGGCCTGTTTGAAACGTAGGAATTTCGCAGGATTCACAAGAAATTTACAAGAATTAGTTTAAATTCACTGGAAAAAGCAAGAATAGGGAAAAGAATCCCATGTTACAAATAGGGCCTAGGCATGCCTAAGTCCTTTTGATAACTTAAAGTATGTTTAATCACATAAAGATAATGATAATGATAATAATGATAATAATAATAATAAATAATAATAATAATAATAATAATAATAATAAGTTAAACTAATCTAATTGTGATCAAGCATGCTAGATTATAGGTTAGATTATTATAATCCAAGCCTTAGATTATAATAATTATGTAATCCACCTTGGACCTACTAATTGGAGATTATAGACACTAAGTCCATGTTTTGATCATAGTTGCATTACAGTAATTAGCTAAAATAATCCAATTATATATGATCCAAACATGCTAGATTATAGTTTAGATTATTATAATTAGATTTTAATAATAATATAATCTATCTTCAACGTACTAGTTGGAGATTATATTATGCTCTAAAATAACCAACTTGTCTGTTACCACCGTCACACATGTATTTTCGTTTCTCCGTCAGCCGAACTACAGAGCGCCTCCTCTAGAGATCCGTCGCCTCCCCCGTTTCCCATCCTACCCCTTCCACCGATTCCCATCCTACCCCTTCCAGGACACCGGCAAGAGCAAAATCCAAAGTTTGGCGCCAAATGCATTGCTAGTGGCCAAGCACACACAGGAAACATCTAGCGACAATGACTGGCACCAAAGTTTTTTTTTTTACAACAAGACTGGCACCAAAGTTAAGGGTAGAACTGGAATCTAGGAATCCAAGGTCATTCTCAGCGGAGAGTTTCGTAGCGTTGTTTCAAAATAACCACGTCATATAAAATGAAATGAAATAATTATGAAACATCTATCCTCAATGCATTGTTTCATTCTATTGTTCCATAGATATTTAATTTGATGACTTATATAGAGTTAGTAATCATGCCAACTTGCCAAGAGAGATGAAACTCACTTCTTGTTTTTCTTCTTAAGAACGCTGTCATGTCATTAAAACAAATATTTTTGTAGCAGCCTATTAAATGCAGATGAAACTAATATGAAACTACAACTGAGACTGAATGCATAATTGCAATCATGATAATCCAACTATGATCCAAACAGGGCCTTAATTGTTAGAAAGTGACATGTTCCATCCATTATTGAGCAGATTAGATAATGCAACTAGGATGATCCAGCTTATGCTCCAGGAGTACTATATCAATCAACTAGGACTTGCAACCATTTGTAGGAACACATCGTGCAGTTGAGAAGGGTATGAGCTGGTTCGTGGTAGGGTTTAGCTTATGTTGGTCAGATAAACAACTGAAATGTTATTCGCCGTACAAGAGAAAACAAAACATAACATGGAATACCTACAACTACAACATCCAAATTAAAAATTTCCACAAGTTTATATGCTGAACATACTTGCATGTGCCTGGAATTCTTTTGCTCTTTTGTTCGGACCAAAGACTTTGAGTGCACATGCGTTTGCACCCATACCCCTATCAGGAACTAAATTAAGAGCTAAAATTGCGCAAATTAAGAGCTAAATTAGAATCTTGTCGCATTGAGTAATTGCGACCCAGCACCCAACCACTAAATTAAGATCTAAAATATCGCAAATCCTGTCATTTTCCTATTGCAAGTTGCACGCTGTTGACTCCATCTGGTCTTCCCCTAATTCCTTTTTCTCAAATCTAATTCAAAGACTTGGTATGCTATCTACTTATTGGATGAGCTGGGACGACATGTTCATTTAATTCATATACATATAGAAGATGATGAACTATATGGATCGATATCTTGACCAGTTCAATGAATATACAATTGAAGCCTCATTTCCTACCTTACACACCAACTAATATGACCTACTGCAGTTCTGCCAGAGCTTCTGACCTCGAAGAAGAAGATGAGCAGCTAAGAGCAACTCGGCGACATCTCAAGAAACTCTCCAGAAATGGAGCTTTCTCCATGGCTTGTGCTCTCGTTCGGTTTCCTTGCGCAGGCTCTTGTCATCTTGGCTGACACCAATGCGCAAGATAGTATGTTTCAGTTTCTCCCTGTTGTCCTTGTTATTGCAGTGCTCATTTGCTCATTCTGTTGCTCTTCTGTGCAGCTGCTGGACTCAACGGAATTAAAGATTCCTGGAACAAGAAACCATCAAACTGGGTGGGCACTGACCCTTGTGGAGATAAATGGATTGGGATAACCTGCACCGGAAACCGGGTCACGGACATGTTAGTATGAGCAGCTAGCAGAGATCACATACGGTCGTTTCCTTCAAGTTATCCATTTTATAGATGAACAATTCATCAATCACTGAGTTGTTGTTGTTGTTTCATGGTGTCTGTTTTTGCAGAAGACTCTCAAGTTTCGGATTGTCAGGGTCCCTTTCAGGCGACATCCAGTCTCTGTCCGAATTGCAGACCTTGTATGAAATTTCTCGCCTTTTAAAGTTTAGATTTGAGTACTTGAGCATCCCAAACAAGTACATAAATTGGAATTTTAGCATGGTTGCAAGCATGTGAGCCTGTGAGGTGATTGCCACCTATTTTTGGCAGGGACTTCTCCTACAACAAGGACTTGGGTGGTCCTCTTCCTGCATCCATTGGAAGTTTGAGTAACCTCGAAAACCTGTGGGTAGTTTGTCCGAATTGCTCACTGATTTCAAGATTTCAATGCATGAATTGTTCTTTGACTTATTTGCTCTCCGACTCCTTTGCAGAATTCTTGTTGGTTGCAGCTTTTCTGGAGAAATACCGAAAGAATTAGGACAGCTCTCCAAGCTTATATTTTTGTAAGGAGATCAAACCTGATAGCTTATGTCTATGACTTTGATCTTTTAGCTACCATAAACAAGGATATATTTTTGGGATTGTATCTTCTGTTCAACAAAAAGCTTTTACCTATATATCTATCCAACTATCACTTGGGGATCAACTTTAGTTTGTCTTCTACCAACTCGTTCTAAATGTTACTTTGTTCATTTCAAACATACAAAATTACTGGATTCTTTAGAAGTGACTGCAAGCAAATGTCCGTTTGATGATAGAAATAGAATTGCCATCATAATGTCATATTACTTTTCAACTGAGCAAATCCTCAACCTTTAGCTCTGTTGTGTGTTCATCTAACCAGTATTGGACCTGACTGCTGATCCTCACAGCATTTATGCATTTAGGTTCAGTATAATATGATTTTTTTCCTTCACTGCCACTATGATGGGGGAAAAAAAAAGAAAGATTTGTCATTGTATTCCATGCCTGCAGATCTATGAACTCAAACAAGTTCAGTGGTTCCATTCCGACATCACTCGGAAGACTCTCGAAGCTATACTGGTTTGATCTGGCTGACAATAAGCTCTCTGGAGGACTTCCAGTATTCGATGGCACAAATCCCGGGCTGGATAATCTGACAAATACAAAGCACTTGTATGTACAATTCCGATCCCCAGAATTAAATTCCTTGATATTGGGATACTTTGAGTCCCCTGATCGAGTTGTGGTTTCATGACCATTTCTTCGCAGCCACTTCGGGATCAATGAGCTCTCAGGAACCATACCGAGCCAGATTTTCAACTCACAGATGAAGCTGATACATCTGTAAGTAAGGAAACCCAAATTGTCAACTCATAATTACTTGCTTATTTATGTTGTGAAGCTCAGACAGTGGATGGCTTGTATTATGTATCCAGGCTTCTTGACAACAACAACTTCACCGGAAGCATTCCTCCTACTTTGGGCCTTCTTAATACACTAGAAGTCCTGTAAGTACATCGCCTACATGTCATGACTTAGAAGAGAAAATCTAGAGTTTTTTTCACTAGCAAGTAGGAGTACTTCTGACCGTGACATGTATGGACCTTTTCTGATCGTGAGATTATTATGTCGGCACAGGCGTTTTGATAACAACTACCAGTTGACCGGGCAAGTTCCTAGCAACATCAACAACCTCACCAAGCTTGCAGAGCTGTGAGTCTGTTACTCTGTTTTTTGTGCATGCTCTTGTTGGTCTGTCTGTATCAGTTGTACAATAGTACTAGGAAGCTGCTATAACCCTATCCTCTCTCGCTCTTCTCTGTTCACACTAGGCACCTAGAAAACAACCAGCTGACTGGTCCACTACCAGACCTTACAGGAATGAGTGCACTCAGTTTTGTGTAAGTGACTCTTGCTCAAGTTTCTCCTTTTCTTGAGTCATAAAAGAATTTTAAGTTCTGAATGTAATGTTCCTTTGTGACAGGGACATGAGCAACAACAGTTTCAATGCATCTGATGTTCCTTCCTGGTTCACTACTCTGCCATCATTGACCTCATTGTAAGTAAACCCCTCTCTGCACTCGTTCCTTATCCTACTCAAGTCCAGAACTTGTGTCTGAAACTCTGAATGTTTATCGGTTGCAGGTACCTTGAAAACCTGCGTGTTACAGGGCAGCTGCCGCAAGACATCTTCAGCCTTCCTGCAGTTCAGACACTGTGAGTGCTTGCTTCTCCACAAGTTTATACTAGCACTCTATGCACAAACTGCTCATGTCAAGGAAAATATAGGGATAGAAACGATCAATCATAGAGGTGAGTCCATGCTTCAAGTTCAGTTCTTGATGGTTGGGTACTTCCTGACAATCGCAGGAGGCTCCGGGGGAACCGTTTCAACGGCACGCTAACTATCGGATCAGACTTCAGTACTCAGCTCCAACTGATCGATCTGCGAGACAACCAAATAAGCCAGATAACTGTCGGTGGTGGATCACAGTACAACAAACAGCTCATGTACGTAGGAACTGAACATTTTGCTCTAATTTTGTGTCGCAACAAACTTGCAGTGCACTGAAGGCTGTGGATTCATCATTTCTAACAAGTCGCATGCATCTACTGCTTTTTTCAGACTAGTCGGAAATCCCGTCTGCAGCGCGGGGAGCAACGAGAAATACTGCACGCCGCCGGGGCAATCCAACCAGGCGACGCCGCCGCCGTACAGCACTCCGAAGAACTGCTCGGGGCTGCCACCGCCATGCCTGTCAGACCAGCTCCTGAGCCCAAGCTGCGTCTGCGCCGTGCCCTACAGGGGCACCTTGTTCTCCGACCTGAGCAACGGGTCGTACTGGGGCCAGCTGGAGAGCGGCATCAAGGCCAAGTTCCTGAGCTTCAGCCTCCCCGTGGACTCGGTCGCCCTCCATGACCCGTCGGTGAACTCGGTGAACAACTTGCAGATGGCGCTGGAGGTGTTCCCGAGCGGCAAGACCCAGTTTGGTGAGCAGGATATCTCTGACATTGGGTTCATACTCAGCAACCAGACGTATAAGCCACCCCCTGTTTTCGGCCCCTACTATTTCATTGGGCAGCAGTACAGTTTTGGCAATGGTAAGACGAACAGGAAAAATGTACACTTTAGGAGTTCAGCTTGCACACCATGCTATATATGTGACTGTTTTTTCATGAACGTAGAGCTGCTGATACCATCCAAATCGAAAGCGAACAACTTACCTCTTATCATCGGAGTCTCGGCCGGTGGAGCGGTTCTTGTGGCAGGAGTTCTTGCGCTTGTCATCTTCGTCGCAAGGAGGAAGAGGAGACCAAAGCAGAACGAGGAGAGGAGCCAGTCTTTTGGTTTGTACAGTTTCTCTGTTGTGCTTGTTAGTTGTTACTGACAGAGGTATAACCATCTCTGCTGCTGCTGCAGTTTCTTGGGACATGAAGAGCACGAGCGGCAGTAGCGTGATCCCGCAGCTGCGAGGTGCGCGGATGTTCAACTTCGACGAGCTTCGGAAGATCACCAACAACTTCTCGGAGGCGAACGACATCGGCAACGGCGGGTACGGGAAGGTGTACAGGGGGACGCTGCCGAGCGGGCAGCTGGTGGCGGTGAAGAGGTCGCAGCAGGGGTCCCTGCAGGGGAGCCTGGAGTTCAGGACGGAGATCGAGCTGCTCTCCCGTGTCCACCACAAGAACGTGGTCAGCCTGGTGGGGTTCTGCCTGGACCAGCAAGAGCAGATCCTCGTCTACGAGTACATCCCCAACGGCACCCTCAAGGAGAGCCTCACGGGCAAGTCCGGCGTGCGCCTCGACTGGCGCCGGCGGCTCCGCGTCGTGCTCAGCGCCGCCAAGGGCGTCGCCTACCTCCACGAGCTCGCCGACCCGCCCATCGTGCACCGCGACATCAAGTCCAGCAACGTCCTCCTCGACGAGCGCCTCAACGCCAAGGTCTCCGACTTTGGGCTCTCCAAGCCCCTCGGAGGAGACGACGGCAGGGGACAAGTCACCACGCAAGTCAAGGGCACCATGGGCTACCTTGACCCTGAGTACTACATGACACAGCAGCTGACGGAGAAGAGCGACGTGTACAGCTTCGGCGTGCTGATGCTGGAGGTGGCCACGGCGAGGAAGCCGCTGGAGCGCGGCCGGTACATCGTCAGGGAGATGAAGGCGGCGCTGGACCGGACCAGGGACCTGTACGGCCTGCACGACCTGCTGGACCCGGCGCTGGGCGCGGCGCCGTCCGCGCTGGCCGGGCTGGAGCAGTACGTGGACCTGGCGCTGCGCTGCGTCGAGGAGGCCGGCGCCGACCGCCCGTCCATGGGCGAGGTGGTCAGCGAGATCGAGCGGGTGCTCAAGATGGCCGGCGGCCCGGGGCCTGACTCCGCGTCCAACTCCATGAGCTACTCCAGCCGGACGCCGCGACACCCCTACGGCGGAGATAGCCCCTTCGCCGACTACAGCAGTGTCGGGTTGCCGTCCGCCAGGGTGGAGCCCAAGTGAATCTACAGCAAGCGCGCGCCGCGAGAACATGGGCGGAAAAGATGCACTCTTCTTCAACAAAAGCTAGCTGTTGAACTGAATGTACAGGGTACTATACTGTACTTATATTAGTGTAAATTTTGGTTACTATGAACTTAAGATAGGTGTGCGATTGGATTAAGAACTGATTTCTTGATAACGGGATTGTTGACATGATAACTTTGGTTTCTATTGTTGAAAACTTATAGAATTATTAGGACCATCTAGCCGGGCACTTGCTGATGAATAGAATCATAAATCCTAGAACATCTATGTGTGCAGTAACAGTAGGTAGGACGAGAAAAAGGGAGGGGTAGAAGATGGACGTGTCAAACCTGACACCGCATTGGAGGAGGATCCGCACGTGTCCGTCATGGAGTCGGTGTCTGCGCTAGGGCAGCGACGGTCGGAGAAGATGGGTGGCGGCGCAGTGCAGTGGTCACGGTGACGCAGTCCGGTGGTGGCGCGGCTAGTGGCTTCCCGTCACTGTCTACGCGCCCTCTAGACCGGGTTTAGGGTTTGTCGGTGGGGAGCTCGGCTCAGGGGAACCTCGTGACTTGAGCCGCCGGCCCCCACCTCTATTTATTGCACAGTGTGATAGGGGCCCTCCAGCCATAGCGGGCTGGGCGCCCCCGATCAGGGCGCGGATCAAAGGCCCAATTGGGTTGTTGGGCTCAGTTTGGTATTAGAGATCAATTCAACAATCTTCCCCTTGATGTCCTACCATCTTTCAATTTCATATCATTTACTTTTATTTATTCCATTACAGATTAGCGCATAGAGCATGTTTCATCGTCACGGTCAATTGCCAATAAATTTAACAGCTACAACACACCACTCTGTTCTGAAATAGATACTTAACTTTTTGGGCCTTCTTTTGTCTAGGAATTACAGGCTTTCCCTTGAACCCATGCCGGTTACATGTTCTCTGAACACGTTGGGTGGTAAGCCTTTTGTAAGCGGATTTGCGAGCATCTTTTCGATACTTATATGCTCAAGACTTATGACATGATTCCGGACTTTATCTTTCACAACATAATATTTTATGTCAATGTGTTTGGCAGCACCACTTGACTTATTGTTGTGAGCATACTGTACTACCGGATTATTATTGCAGTATAACTTAAGTAGTCTATAGATGTCGTCAACCACCTTCAAACTGGGTATGAACTTCTTTAGCCAGTTCAACTGCCCCGTTGCCTCATAACACGCTATAAACTCGGCATATATTGTGGACGATGTAGTGACGGTTTGCTTTGAGCTTTTCCATGAAATAGCTCCCCCTGCGAGAATGAATACATATCCAGACGTTGATTTTCTATCATCTCCCGCATAATCAGAATCTGAATATCCCACTATATGGAGTGAATCAGATCTTCTATACGTCATCATGAGGCCTTTCGTTCCTTGCAAATAACGCAAGACTTTCTTTACTAATTTCTAGTGTTCTGTTTCAGGATTGCTCTAGAATCTACCAAGTAACCCGGTAACAAATACCAAGTCAGGGCGCGTACATACTTGAGATTGCAAGCTTCCGACAGCTGAAGCATATGGAACCACTTTCATTTGATCGATCTCATATTGGTTCCTGGAGCATTGAAAATCTCCATATCTGTCGTCCTTGACTATAGGAGCAGGTGAGGGGCTACATTTGTGCATACTGATTTTTTTAAGATCCTTTCTATGTATGCCTTTAGTGACAGTCCTAATACCCCTTTACTTCTATCTCGGTGAATCTCGATCCCTAGAACGAACGAGGCTTCACCAAGATCTTTCATATCAAATTTTGAGGACAAAAACTTCTTTGTCTCCAGTAGTAGACTGACATCACTACTAGGAAGTAAGATATCATCCACATATAGGACAAGGAAGATAAACTTTCCATTCTTAAACTTTGCATAGACACAATTGTCCTCTACATTTTTTTAAACCCAAAATTCCTTATTGTCTGATCAAACTTCAAGTACCACTGTCTTAAAACTTGTTTTAATCCATAAATGGATTTCTTTAGGCGGCATCCCATTCGTTCTTTTCCTTCAATGACAAAACCTTTTAGTTGTGCCATGTAAACATTTTCCTCCAAGTCCCCGTTGAGAAATGCCGCCTTTACATCCATCTTATATAATTCTAAATCGTAATGTGCCACTAATGCCATTATGATTATGAAGGAATCCTTACATAAGACTGGAGAAAAGGTCTCATTGTAATCAATCCCTTCTCTTTGCGTAAAGCCTTTTGCCACAAGTCGCGCTTTATATCTCTCTATATTCCCTTGAGAGTCAAGTTTTGTTTTGTAGACCCATTTACAACCTACTGTTTTGGCTCCTTTAGGAATTATTTCCAAGTCTCAAACTTTATTGGCATTCATGGATTTCATTTCATCTTCCATGGCCTCAAGCCACTTTGATGAATGATCACTTCTCATGGCTTCTTCAAATGAGGTGGGATTATCCTCCATTTGAAATTCCTCAGTATTGTATACTTCATAGTCAGTAGGAATAGCTGATTTTCTAACTCTTTGAGACTTTCTAGGGGCCTCCACATTTGGCACATCTTCTATTTGAGGCTGTTGTTGCCCCCCCTCATGTGTGGCAATAGGTTCTATAGGATCCTGAAGAACAGGTTCCTCATCGTCATTTATTGTTGCCATAGGCAGAATAACAACAGGTGCTGGCACCACAGTATCTTGCACTGTCGGTGCAGCGACAGCAGGTAGTGAGAAAAAAGGCTCATGAATCATCGGAGTGGGCGCATACACCCGCTTCTCTTCAAGGTCAATTTCTCGAGCTACCATGCTCCCCCTCATCATTTCATCCTCTAGGAAGATGGCGTGTCTCGTTTCCACAAACTTTATATGTCTGTCTGGACAGTAGAAACGAAAACTTTTTGACTTTTCTGGGGAGCCAATGAAATGGCAACTCACTATTTTGGGATCTAGCTTCCCAATGTTTGGGTTAAATACTTTAGCCTCAGCAGGGCTCCCCCACACACGCAAGTGGTTTAGTGAGGGTACTCTTCCTGTCTACAACTCATACGGTGTTTTGGGCACCGACTTACATGGTACTCTATTGAAAATATGAATGGCGGTTTTTAACGCCTCCATCCACAGGCTCAATGGTAAGGTGAAGTAACTTATCATACTGCGCACCATATCCATCAGGGTATGATTGCGTCTTTCAGCTACTCCATTCTGCTGAGGTTCGCCCGGTGTAGAATACTGGGCTACTATGCCATTCTCCTGTAAAAACCTTGCAAAAGGTCCAGGAACTTGGCCATATGGGGTATGCCGACCGTAGTACTCCCCTCCCACAGTCGGACCTGACTATCTTGATCTTTAAATTGTGTTGGTTTTTAACTTCTGCCTTAAATATCTTAAATCTATCCAATGCTTCTGTTCTTTCTTTGATTGGATAAATGTAGCCATAACAGGAGTAATCATCTGTGAATGTTATGATCGAATCATAACCATCCACACTCTTTATAGGAAATGGACCACAAATGTCTGTGTTAACAATCTGTAAAATTCATGCGCTTCGTTTGACATCTTTCTTAATTTTCTTTACATACTTTCCTTTTAATTATTCTCTGCATTGTTCTAAATCTGAGAGCTCTAATGGAGGAAGAATATAATTCTTAACTAGTCTTTCTATTCTCCCCCTCGAAATATGGCCTAAACGATAGTGCCATAATTTCGACAACGCATCGTGAGCTCTCTTTCGTTTTCTGTTTACATCCGCAGACGAGGATACATTCTCATTGTCGCACGCAACGTTCCCATCATCGCATACAACATTCACATCATCACGTAGTGATAACAAATAAAGCTCATTTTGTAAGATAGCAAGACCAACACATGCATTATTAAATGTTATCTTATATTTGCTATTTCCAAAATGGCAATCATATCCATCATTGTCCAAGCATGAAACACTAATCAAGTTTCTCTATAAAGAGGGAACATAAAGAACATCTCTAAGTAAAAGTGTGAAGCGATCAGCAAGCTCTAGAGAAAGATCGCCAGCGGCTTCAACATCTGCTCGGACTCCATTTGCAACTTTAACGTGTCTTTTGCTTCTTTGCGTAGTCCTCGTCGAACGGAATTCCTGTAAAGAATTAGCAACATGAACAGTTGCACCTGAGTCAATCCACCAAGTAGATTTCGAATACTGTACATACAGGGATTCATTTATGAACATAATAATGTTCTCACCTTTCTTTACCATGATCATCTTTAAGTAATCGGGACAATCTTTCTTATAATGTCCCGTCTTCTTGCAATAGAGACACTGGTCTTTCTCTACTGTGAACTTGTTCTGCTAAGGCTGATGCAGCATGGGACCCTTTCCCTTTGGCTTTGAGGAGAAGTTAGTATTAGTATTCTTTTTCTTGTTGTCTTTCCGATAATTGATAGTGCCACCATTGGCAGCTTTCATTCTCTCCTCCTCTTGCACACACATAGCCATGAGCCTCTCCATGTCCCACTTCTCGGGCTATATGTTGTAGTTGACAATAAAAGTGTCAAACTCCCTTGGCAAGGAAGCAAAAATCAGATGGATAAGGAACTCTTCCTTGAGAGCCAGATCCATTGGTTTTAGCTTGGATGCCAAATTGCTCATCCTTAGTATGTGCTCTCTTATGCCACCATTTTTAGAGTACCTCTGTGTCACTAGCTGCTTTATCAGCTGGGTAGCATATGTCTTTTAAGAGCTAGTGAACTGACTCTTTATTCTATCGAGGTACTCGGTGACGGTGTCACACTCTGGGATTGAGCCCACAATTACAGGCTCAATTGTGTTCTTTATCACAGCCATACGTTTCTTGTTGGCAGTGACCCACTTCCTATGCTTAAGGTCATAGGACATCTTTTGGGATCCAAAATCCCTTTCTCTTGTTGTCCAAGAGGCATCAGCCTCGTTTGTCTCCCTCACCGGTGCCACAGGCTCTGTGGGACATGGTGAGGTGACTACCCAGTCCACCTCAGC